ACAGGGCAGGTGTTTATCAGGAATGTAATATTTAGCCTCCATGTTTGTATCCCCAGGGCTTGGCACAATGGCACCAAAGCAGGTGCTCAACAACTATTGTCGAATATATGAATTAATGAAAAAGTAGCTTATGTTTAAGTGCTTTGGGTAAATGGGAACTGTTATTATTTTTCTGAGAATAAGATGGGGGAAGGAAAACCTGAGGAGAATGCCTTGTTGAGAAAAGAACTTGGGAAGTAGGGTGCCAGGTGCAGGCGTTTGAGGGCATGGTTATAAAACGTTACATCGTATAGGTTTTATGTTGCACACTTTCAGTAACAGGTAATGCACTGCCTCATAAAGTAACTCATCTCATTTGCATACTCTTTGCTTGAAGAAAAGATTATTTTTCGTTTTGATATGTCTTTTCAGGTATTTTCTTTGAGTATTTCCATAGTAACCACTATACATGGCACATGCTTAACTGAAATAGGGAGTTTTCTCCTTTTACATAATGGTGACATGTCTCAAGAGGGTAGGACTTGAAAATATTATTTCCATAGGAGAGTAGATGCATAGACAGGGAGGGAGGGAGAGAGGAAGAGAGGGAAAGAGAGAGAAATAGAGATAATGTGAGTGACAGGTGCAAAGAGTCTTCTCAATAAGAAAGGATAAAGAAAAAAGACAAGATAAGTAAAATTGATTAGTCACAGAGTTTCTCTAATTATATTCTTGTGCACATGCCACTTACACACACACACACACACACACACACACACACACACACAGGTGTATGTAAGTAAGGAAAAGGTGCAATTGGTGGAGGGAAACAGATTTGGAGCTATATACTGCACATGCATAGCTATATACTATACCTGCTCCCAAACCCCATGTTTCAGCAGAGTGTTCTTCATGCCTCCCAGTTGCTATGGAAATACTCTAAGGAACTTGCCATATGCCTTGTGTCTAGTCCCGCAAGGGGAATGCTCAGTAATGCAAATACCATACAGGCTTAAGGAGAGGCTAGAAAAGCAGGATGGCTGAGAATGATTCCATTCCTTAGACACCAAAAATTCCTTAATGCTACATATCTGGGGATTCCCAAGAACCACAGAGAGGAATAGATTTTTCACTGGTTTGTAACTAAAAGGCTGCTTAGCTAGAAAATAACAACACTGTCTGTACTTGTGTGGGAAGAGAAGTTTATGAGAAAAGAACAGATGAGGAAACAGGAGATGGAAAACCTGTCTTCTAATGGCAGATCTGAACCTATGTACTGTATGACCTTATTTTATTATTTATAAAATGAGAGGAGATCACTGGAAGATTTCAATAGTCTATATCATTGATGAGGCTTTGGTTTGCACATGAACAACAAGAACAACAAATTTCCAATTTTCAAAGTGGCTTAAAGATAAAGGAAATGTATTGAATCATGAAATGGAAAATTCCAGAAGAGAGGCTGGCTTCAGATAAAGTTTAGTTTAGTACCTCAACAATGTAGTCCAAGGACCCAGTTTTGATATCAACTTCCTCCTGAGGCTGGTTCCAAGATGGCTGCCACAAGTCTCAGGGCTGAAGCAACTGCTTGTGGCAAGAAAAAGAGAGTGTGTTTGCACTGGGTCCCCCACATCTATTCTGAAAGTTAGTCTGATTGGACCAGCTTGGGTTACAAACCCACCCCTTGACAAAAAAGCTACTTATTGGCTTCACCTGGTCATCAAAGCTAAAGTTGAGGCAGAGAAGGCATGGTGGAAGGGTTAACTTCTGAACCAGATTTTGAAAGATGACCAGAAATGTGTTAGTAGAAGAAAGGGATGGAGGACATTCTGGGCAGAGGAAGCTGCATGTATAAAATTTTGGCAGGGAAAAAGAACATGGCAAGTTTATCAAAAAACAACTGTTTCAACGCTGAGGAAGCCCCGCAGCAGATGTGGCCGGAAAGAGAAAGCTTACATGTTGAAGACCTTCTTATGCCACACTAAGACATTTGTACTTTTTTCTGTCAACTATGAAGAACTACTAAAAAAGTTTAGTCAGGGAAGAAATATGATCAGACTTATGTTTTAGTAAGATATTTCTCATGGGGGATAAAATAACGATCTTGGATGATTTGTTTTTTCTATATTGGTAGACAAGATAGTGGTGCTCTTAACAAAAAGTACAAGGAGAAGGAAGAACAGGTTTGGAGAGGCCAACAGTGAGCTCAGGACATGTGGAATTATAGGTGCTCTGCAATATCCAAGTGGGGATCTTTCTCTATCATTGGACTCAAGCAGAGGAGTGCAACCCTCAAACATGGCTTATACAATTGTCCATTTTCCCTAAGCTCCTCCAATGACACCAGTTATTTTCATGTGGAATGATTAAATAATAATTTAATAAATCATACTCATTAAATTAAATGCTTTATAATTAACTCAATATATAAATCATTAGAATTTAATTTTTTTTGAGACAAGATCTTGCTCCGTCACCCAGCCTGGAGTGCAATGGCACCAGCTTAGCTTACTTCAGCCTGGAACTTCTGGCCTCAAGCGATCCTCCCACCTCAGCCAGCCAAGCAGCTGGGACTACAAGCACATGCCACCACGCCCAGCTTAGAATTTAAAATTTAAAACTATTAAAGTGTTTTTTGGGGGGAAAGTTTAATTATAATATACCCTTGGTTATTTTTTTTCTGTCTTTGAATTTATCATCCAAAAAAAGTTCAAGTAAATTAGCTAGCCAAGGTTTTCCCTGGCAGAAAACAGACTACTTTTTTCTCATGAGGTTTTGCTTGCTTAAGTATTTAAAGTCTTCCTCATTTATCAGATAGTCCATGTCCTTGCTCAATATGAAAGTGAGGCGACTCTTCAGTCTGTTGTTGGAAAATGTCCTGTAGAGTTCTGTTGACTATCTTCTGCCCTAGTAGCCATTGGTAATAAGTTTTGGAGAATAAGCCATAGGTTTGCAGTGTTACTATTGGATTCTTTCAAAATTTTCAAGTGAATGCCATCCAGATTTAGTGATTTACTTACATTTAGTTTGACAACTCAAACTAGAACATGTTATCTATTTATTCCCAATTCTTTCTAACTCAAAACTACATGGTACATAGATTATCTTTCTTTTTTACTTGATATAAACATCATTCTGTGGATGGACTGCAACAGCTGGGATCCCATTGAGCTGTGCTCCATAGATCATGAGAGCATGAATATGGTGTTTGAACCTTGACTCTATTGCACTAAGTCCTCAGGTTAATTGCTGGTTGATACATTGCCCAGAAATGGAGAGAATCATCAAATCGCTATCAGAAAAGGTGACCAAAACAATTAGACTGGAAAATGGATAGCTCATCTATTCTTGACCATCCTAAGGATTAAACTGAATCTAATTCATTGTATTTATGCAGTTAAGTTTTATTCTTATTATAATAGTGCCACACACCATGTCCGTGGTAGGCATGGAGACTATAAGGACAAACATTTGTGACCCTGTCTCTCAAAAAACCTAAAATAAGTTGAAGTTTGTAACACATCACATTGAGTGCCAGGTTAAAGTTGCTAAAGATGTGAGTATTGAGAAAGAATATTGCTAAAGGACCACAGACAAACAATATCAAAGTCACACTGAGGGATTAGGAAATGTTTCCTAGAGAATGTAATGACTATGCTGATTTTTAAAGGAGGAGGAGGAGAGAGCTTCATTAAGAGGGTGGCAGAGCAGGGTGAGAGGAAGTGACAGCACAGGGCACGTCGTACACAAGGCCTGTGAGGTGGGTAAGCAAAGCGTAGAGCTCTCTGTGAGACTTGAGTGCAGGGCGTGTGGATGTCGTTGGTGGGGTGGGATGGATCGGTAGAAGATAAAGCTACAAAGCAGATTGGAGTCAAAATAGTAAGAGTTTTGTATTCTAAAACCAAAGCATTTAAATTTCACCCAAAATGCCACTTCTTTTGGAAGTCCTCCCTGGCTCCCTTGATTGGGTCAAACCTCTCTAATAAGTGCTCATAGCACAGTGAACCTCTCCTTTGTGGAACTTATCACAGATACTATTTCAACTTACCTAGATGATTGATTATTTGATTCATGTCTTTACCCTCTATCAGATTGTAAGTCCTCTGTGCTTCTGCTTGTTCATGAAGCTCACGTACGGTTCTTTGAACAGTGACGGAGAGAAACAATGGTGTGGCAAAGTCAGTTCTAACGTCCTCTCTCCTGGTCCTGGGAGAGGAAGGGACTGTGAAAAGGATTCCCTTGATGGAGGTGAGGGAGAGATTCTGTCATCAGGAGAAAGTCTGATTTACGTTAACAGAATCAGGTTGACTTCCACTTCCAGCCACAAGAAATAACGGAAATATAACCCATGATAGCAGAAACATCAATTAGTCAAAAGAGATCCAGAAATGACAGAGATGATGAAATTAATGAACAAAGACATTGGAACAGATTCTGTAAATATGTTCCATATGCTCAAGGATGTAAAGGAAAATGCAAACGTAGCAAGGAGCTAAATAGAAGCTATTAAACAAGAACCAAATGGAACTTCTAGAGACGAAAATGTAATATCCAAAATGAAAATTTAACTGGATGGGATTACCAGTGGATTGTTTAGTAGACTTGAAGACAGAGAGACTATTCAAAATCAGTCACAAGGAGGGAAAGAAAAAAATGAGGATGAAAAGGATTCCAGAGACACTGAGATGGTATCTACTGGGAAGACTTCTGGGACCATGAATCCCAAACAAACCTCAGCTTGACAGGACAGAGAAGGGAGCCAAGGAGAAGACAGTCTGAAGAGCTTGTTCCCTAGGGAATGTGGTAGATTGTAGCCATCCATTTATTTATTTAAAAAATTTTTATCAAGGCATACTACCATTTGTTGAGGGTTTTCTATGTACCATATTTTGTTCTAGCTCCAGGAGATACAAATATTTGCAAGACACAATTTATAGCCTATACAGGGAAGCAGGCAAGGACAGGCAACTGCAGAAAAAGGACACAGTTGATGGAGATATGGACGTTAGGGAGGTACTCACTTTCAAGGTTATGCAAGTGACCATGCAAGTGCATTCAGCCTGTCCCTGAGAAGGAATGCTCCTTAAATTGTGCGCTCTAGCTGGCTCTTTGGTCTCATCTTCATCTCTGTCCTGGATAGGAAAAATTAATGATGGTAGAAAGAAATGCTAGACTTAGGACTAAACTACGCAAGGTCTCTACTGTCATTCAAATGTTATTGCCTGTACCATTGCATTTGGGGGAGAGAAGAATTGCTCATCTTTGAGGCTTCACATCCAAAGACCTTCCTAATCAGCACCAACAACTAAAAAACAAAACAAAAACAAATAAAAAGTTAAATTTGGTTCATGGCTTCCTTCTTTGCACTTACTGTGCCCTTTACCTACTTCTGTCTTCTCACCGACATTTTATTGTGTGGGTGTCTTTATTGTCAGTATTTCCTAATAGACTGTGGGCACTGTGAGGACCAGGATTGTCTTATTCACTTTTTTTGGCATAATATTTTTCTTATTGCAGTAAAATATATGTAACACAAGCTTTTCCTTTTCAAATATACAATTCAGTGGCATTAATTACATTAACAATATTGTGCAATTGTCACTATTACCTATTTCCAAAGTGTGTTTTTCAATTTTTGCATGCTTATCACAGTGTACATACACATATATGCACAGCATATAACACAAGTGTGGTTTTAATCAATGTTTCCTGAATGAATTGTTGAACTGATACATGAATTAATCTAGCAGTCTAAGGACTGGCTCTAAATTCAGAGCAATTAAGATTTCCTTTGCCACTATGCAAAAAAAAATGACAGAGAATAGAAGCTATAAAACTGAAACAAGTTGTGGATAGTAGGAGTGGCGACATCAAAGGAAATACCTTTAGAAAGAGAACCTGTGCTGGTGAGGAATCATAGGCATGCTTTTGATGAAGAAGCCATATGACAGAACTCGATGACCTCCATAGACAAGTGCCAGATTCCCTTGCTAATACATGACTTTCAGTGGAAGCAAGCCTGATAGCCTTTTGCAGGTACTTTGACTCCTGAAAGCGTTTAGGGAGTACTCAAAATATTTTTGACCTTTAGTAAGTTTTTTCCTCCTCTCTAAGAGGACATCCTGGTCCTATTACTGTCTTCGAGACTGAAAAATAAACTGGCAACAATAACTCCTCTCTCTGTGCTTTATTAATGCACAAGCTTCAGGGCACCAGACATAGAATTGAAGGTCAATATTGACTTGGTTTTACAGTGCTAGGATGAAATAGGGAGAAGAGGGCAGAATAATAATCAGACCTTTTAGGTCATGTGGAAAAATCAGCAAAGGTTTATTTTATTCTAATGACATTTTCCAAATATGTTAGAAATATTGCTGTCCAACTTGCTGATCCCCCCATTAATTCAAACTGCGCTACGAGGATCTAGCTACCCGGCTGTGCTGTCAACCTGGAGGGCCTGGCGTGGCCCAGCTCAGAGGCTGAGGAACTATAACCCACAAACCATTCCTCACACTGGAATTTAGTGGGAAGGGCCAGAGATATAGACAGAAGGCCCTTCCCAGCCACGTATTGGCTCTATGACTTTTGAGGGTGTTGTGTGTTGATTAATATATTCATACATATTTATATAACCCTTATAGTAATTATTATAAAGCAAGCTCAATAAACTATTGTACAACTTTTTCTCCTTCTTGAAATAACTATTTGGTCCACTCCTAACCTAAACAAACAAATCTAAAAAGAGCTTACGATTTCCCTATAATGTATATGAGCATGGAGACTTTGCATAGGAAGGAGATTCATGGTTAACTTTAACATTAACTCTAACCCACGTGAATGCTCTTCCCACTGTTATGAGAGAAAAACACATGTTCACCCAATGTTTTCTTAATTGCTAGGTTCTCTTCTTCATGGGAAAACTCCTGCAATTATGGTAGCTGCCATCAAGAGAATAATAGTAAGCAGGAGAAAAGAAACAGTCTTTTGGGGGTTTGTCTAGCAATCTATCTCTATTAAGTAACAGCAAATGACAAAGTTTATTCCCTCAAACTTGGGTCAGGAGACTTTTTTAGTAAAACTCAACCATCCGCTGATTCTTGCTCTTTGTGTATTTCCCCACCCCTGTTCCAAACTAACCTGCACATCTGTACGCGTAAGAGAATCTGGATCAGGGATGCAGAATGAAAAAGAAATTAAATATATACCTATATATACCAGCTTAAAGTTACTGAAAAGATATTTAATCTGAATATTATTTGTAAATTTAAAATTCAGCTTCTGTAGGCATTTGCAAATGTCATATATTCATACACAAAGTCAACTTATGGTTTCTTTAGTACTAAATTATTTTAACCCTAAAATGATCCTCAAGAGGAAGACACAGGGTGCCCACGAGCAAGACTGGGTGACGTCAGGTGCCATCGTGTGGGGGGTATGGCACTTGCTCTGAAAGTCTCCCTTTTCCTTCTCTCCTTTTAAAGTGCAGATGTTTTATATAAGAATGTCAACTAAGTAATTTGTTGTTATTCATGAAAACCTTAGCACAGCTTTTTTTTTTCTCAGAGAAAGAGAGAAGAAGGATCTGAGGAAGAGAAAGACAGTGGATAAAGGTTACGGCAGAACAGGTATCTTTGGAAGGCAGAGGACGAGAAGGGCCTGGCCCAGGGGAGGGCAGCAGGGCGGAGGCAGTGGGAAGGAACTGTCAGCTGGGAGCACAGAAAAGCATAAGAAGGGGGAGAGCCTCAGACAAGTTTCACCGCAGGGCCTGGTGCAGACCCGCTCCTACTGCCATCTCTCCCCAGCACGCTCGCCCCCTCAAGCCCTCGGCCCCAGCCCCTCACACTAGCTCCTCTCTTGAGCTTTGTCTGCTCCAAGATGGGCCCTGGGTGGTGTCCTCTTCTGTGCATTCTGCCAGTAGTTCTCCCAGACCTCTCTGTCTCTCTGCACAGAGAAAGTGTGGGTGGACAAAGCGAGCAGAGCCCTGGCCTTACCACCAGCTGGCCGAGCTGCCTTGGTTTGCATTTGCTACTCTAGGTGTTTGTGGGGTTTGGAAGCTGCATGCCCAGGGAGTGGAAAAGCTGGGCTGTGCACTGCAGCCTCCCTTTTGGCACCTGCAGAAGTGCTCTTAGCAGCTAGGGCAGGTGGGTACAGCCAGGGAGCAGAAGGAATGTAGTTAAGAGTACTAGGGTAGTGTGACCCAAGGGACATTTACCAGCCCTCTCTCACCACAGTCATCCAATAAATAAATGAATAAATAAACTTCCCAACAGACATCATGGTGTTTAAAATGCAACTATTAGAAATATATTCATTTCAGTAAAGCATTGCCCTCTCTCCTTGATCTTTTTGTTCTCTCTCTCTCTCTCTTTAATGTAAATATCCTTGAGAGGGATCATACCTGAGTCACTGGTACTTCAGCAGACACAATCAGAAAACAGTCTTCAGTCCCAGGAGAATTTAGATGATCATTCTAGCTGCTGGGCTGGAGATGTTTGGGGGAGGAAATTGACAGAAGAAGATAAGAAGAAAAGGACAGCGCAGAAAGGACAGAAAGGGATGTCAAGACCATCTGCCCTGACTTAACAGGACCTCCAGCCACACTCCAAAGATCTGTTCTTCTCATCTTTAGTGCCACGTTCTGGGGCCATTATCAACCTCAGTGTGTGTGTGTGCACGTGAGCCTGTGAAGGAGGGATTCTGCATTCTACTACTCTGGTACATAATCAGTATGTAGCATACAGTAAGTGTGCTAGAACTCTGTTATATTCCGAATATGATTTTACCTGTGATCCCCTGGAAGGGGTGGTCAGAGAAAAAGAGTTCACAAAGTATTTTTCATCTTACTCCAGAAACTGTTAAAAACTACTAACTTTCCTCTCTAGGTACTGAACTGATACATTTTAGTTCTTTCACAAAAGATTAAACTTGTATCCACAGAGGCAGCCTAGGAACAGAGTTAATTGTTCCAGAAGCAGGCTGACACATTTTGTAAGATTGTAGGACAAAGCCAAGTATGAGGTTTCTAATGGTCTATTCCACCATACAAAATGTAAACCGGTTTTGGAACAAGCCACTTGCCTGCAGCCCAAGACAGAGAATAATCTTCCCCGGGGCAGGCAGGGGGAAGGAGGGCAGAACTTGCATGATGCTGCAGAAGCAGAAATCCTGTGTCAATGGGCAGAGGCATTCAATGGTCTCTAGAAGGAATTTGCACTTCTCTTGGCTTATTGCTTGTTAGTTTTCCTTAAGACCCATTCTTGCTCTGACACCTTCAGGAAATTCATAGATCAAGCTTTCTTTTTTAATTTGATGCTGCCTTAAAAGCACCATAGGCTCCTAGGAAGGGACAAACAGCTTCCTACATGATAGCCTTGCAAAAGAGAAAGCTCCTCAGGGAGCCTTGTAGGACACAGGTGACCCAGGCTGTCATTTAGGTTACGGTCACTCCCTTCTACTCCATATCCAGGTCACGTAGCTCTGGTACCCCTATGGGTGATTAATTTTCTTAGAAATAAAAGCCTATGCTCTAAGATTTCTCAACTCTGAACATAGTGACACGGTTGTTTCCCTGAACCTCTTGAGCCTGCAATCAGTCAGTGGTACTCATTTGCAGACTTAGACCTAAATAATTTTAAGTAGCTTTGGGTCTTTCCTCCATAGCTGTTATTGAAATGGAAATCCCATAAATTAGAACGCACTCTAATTCATATCTCCTCAAGCAGTAATTTAGATGAAGAGTTGGCACTTATTCTGTAAGGGGCCACATAGTGAATATTTTAGGTTTTGCAGGCCAAACGGTCTCTGTTGCAAGTACTCAACTTTGCCCTTGTAGCTTGAAAGCACAGACAGCATGTAGATAAATGGGTGTGCTTGTGTCCCTAAAAACCTTTATTTGCAAAAGTGGGCAGCTTTTGCAGGATTTGCATGGGCAGGATTTGCCCATGTCATGGTTTGCTAAGCCCTGTTCCAGATGGCTCTTTAAAACACTCACTTTCTTTTATTTTCCTGTGCTACCTATTACCACTATCTGAGAGTTATTAAAGTTTCTAAATCCACATAAACTCTCTATACATTGGTGTGATTTTCTTAGAATTGCAACCTAAAAGTGTGCTTTTTAATATTTTTCTATCATACGTTTATAGATAAGAAGCACACAATAAATTCCACCTGGCTACATTCTAAGTCTTTTTATAAAAACCTAAACTTATTTTTATGTAGTTGGAATTTGTATATATATTCTATTTTTCTATTTTGTTATTTATACTCGATAGTCTTTTATAGAGCCATTGTTATGGATTGATATATTCTGCTTACTTCTTTTAAAAGACTATGCGGTATTTCATTATATTTATAAAGCTGGCTTGCTAAAAATTCTCCTATTGTTAAATATTTGGACTTTTTCCCACTTTTTTCCATGAGCTAAATAGGGCTGCTATAAAAAATCTTTGTAAAAAAAAAATCTTTGTGCAAGTGACATACAAGAAAGTTAAAATCCAAATGTAAAAGCTATATTTACTTCTGCTAGCTCTGCTAATTATTATGTTTGAAATATGGTACCGCATTGCACACTCAAAAACACAGCCAGATAATTATTTTTTTTAAAAAATGCAACTATTAATAGATCATAAATCCATTGGGTTGGTCTATCACAACATTAAATGATCTGTCAGAAGACTATATTCCTATACAACTCTTACTGAGATAGGGGATTTGATCTCAAACTTTTTTCAGTCTATAGTTCCCTATAGATATATTGCTTCCCAGGTTTGATGGTGTATCTCAATATTATCACACAAACTCAGCAGTTGCATCTATGGCTCAAATACCTCAATCCATGTTCAAACACTGTACTTCAGTATTCTAAATCAGATTCATTAGCATTGTCAAGCACCTCATCATTAATCTCCAGATACTGTCATGCTCAAGCTCAATATTTTCTTTTTCCCAACAGGGAAGGGTTGAATCTAATGATTGGTAGAGACTCTTTCCCAGCTCGGAGCTCAGATATGACTTGGTATTTCCAAGGTCAACAGTAGATTCTTGCCTTTCAGACCTATGGGAGATTGAGGTCTGAAGAAGCAGAGAGGGCTGGATGGGGAATTTTGTTCCACCTTATTTACATCTTCAGGCACTTAAGCTGGCAAGACATATCTTTAGAGAGAAAGGGCATGTAGTTTAGATTAGTGCGTCACAAATTATCACTAGTTTAAAAACTTTCTTAAAATTTTCAAAATGTTACCAACTGATACTTTCATAAAATATGATAAAACAGTTATCATAAAAATAAATAAAAACAGACATGCAAGATACCAGCTTCCAATTTTGCACTTATTACTAGAGACCATGTTATATTTTTTATTATTTAAATTGACATGAATACATTTATTATGTATTTCTGTTAAGAAGATATTAAATTAGCATAAGATAAATATAATCAGAAGAAACATAGCATAGGTAAAAATGCAAAAACTGTCACATTTTTCATTGAAACTGCCCCATTTTTTCACTTTTCATTCAAAGTGTGTGCATAAGTGAATAATACAGACTTTACCTAGCTCGTGGTGAATAGGTCTGAGGCATGCATTTTAAGTAGCACCAGTGTAGAGGGCCTGGCCTGACTTTATAGTCAAAGAAACATGGTCTTGTCTGAGTCTCTTACTGTCTGTGCAACCTGAGACCACTCATGTTCTCAGCCTCCTATTTTTGTTAAGTGAGGATGATAATAAAATAAAATAAAATGGGGTTACTGTGAGGATCGAGTAAGACAATGTGTGTGAAGTGCTTAGTATAGTATTTGGCATCGTGAATGCTGAAAAATTATAGTCAGCATCTCTGTTAAGGTGTCAGCATGAGAAACATTTAAAGAAATTTAGTAATGAAACTGTAAAGAGCAGGTATGCATCTGGCTTCAGTGTACCATCTCATAAACAGAGTCTTATAAGCATTGAAACCCCACAGAATGATAAACTACCAAAAATAATAAAAAAAATTCAGCAAGGCTGCCAGATACAAATTCAATTTACACTATCAATAACTAACAAGAAATGGTAATAAAAATGATATGCATAATATTAAGAATCTCTAAAGTTTCTAGGAAGAGAAATAACAGGGAATGCACAAAATTTTATGGGTAAATGTTTCAAAGCTTGTTAAAAGAGATAGAAAAAGATATGATAACAAATGGAATTACCT